ACATGTCAAGCTCGAAATCTCATCATACTCGACGACCAAGAGACGTTTAACGACAAAATCGTAGAAAGGGAAACGTTTCTACTTCAAAATTTGTCCGATTTAAAAAAACACACACAATTATACGAAGAAATCATAAAGAATTTTACGTATTCGTTGGAAGGTCAAAGAGAAATTGAGTTGAAATTTCTAGTAGAAATGTGCGATGTTGACAATTTGATTTCTACAGATGATTTAGTTGAAATGTTGGATGCTCCGTTGTTGATTGGAAACTTACAAGAAGTTCTGCCACCAAGTCATATCGAAAGAAGATTAACGAAAATTTGTATAGATGTTAACTTTTTGAAAAATGTTGACCAGAATGCAGTGGCTTTAATTGACTCTGTGACCAATGTTAAGTCATTTCAACAAAATTTACCAGATGTAGTAATCACGAAAATAGATGATATAGAAACGATTCAAAATACAATTCATAGTCTAAGGATCTACATTACTGGTGAAACTGATATATCACGAGAGAAATTTAATACTTTGTGCAAGAAGAATTTGGATTTTCATTTTCATCACTTTAAATATTTGGACGATCATCGTTTGGAGTGGCTAAGAAGTGAGAATTGTGAGTGTTTCGAAAAACTTGAGAATTTCCGGCGACAAACAGAATTCTTGGAAGTCATGGACCAACGACAATATTTTAGTAAATCGGGGCAAAATATTAACATTATTTGTGCAGATCCTGGTATGGGGAAAAGCACGTTAATGAAGAGCTTGAAAAGTGTCAGTTTTTCGTCGAAGTGGATCATTATAATCTACGCAAGGAATCATCCTCACCACTTTAGAAAAAATAAATCAGATATGGACAAGTTTTTGAAATATCTGCTGAAAATTACTTGTAAGAAGTACTCAAACCCATTGCACCAAATAGTTTTTAAGACAATGCTGGAGCAGAATCGAATAGAAGTAGCGTGGGACGGACTGGATGAAGCGTCTGATGCAACCCAAATTTCGGTTTTAAGCTTAGTGAAAACTTTTTCGGAAAGAAACGTGAAACAGTGGGTAACTTCTCGAAATAACCTGAAAAGTTTGTTAGAAAAGACACTAGGTATGTTTTCACGAAGTATAAAGGAGTTCGATGACGACGAACAACGAGAGTACATCAGGAGTCGCCTTCAGGTCCCCGAAGAAGAGTTAGCTGAAACTATTACTAAAATAAGAGAAAATGTAATGGCTTTCCCGAACTATGAAATCTTGGGCATTCCTCTACAAATTTATATGTTGTCAGAACTGTTTTTACAAGATAAAGAAAAGTATCTGGATTTGTTGAACGACATTTTCACTGTTCTCGACTTGTATGAACACTTTGTCGACGAAAAATTTAAGGTTTTGTACGAAGAGAAAAAAGAAATCGTGCTATCGAATGAACAAAATGAAAACATTTTTTTCCAAGAAAAAGAAACTAAAATGAATTACTACAAACGTTTGGCTGCCAGCTCTTACATTTACAACTCATTTGTGGAAAAACTTTTCAAGATAAATCGCCGTGTCGACAAAGAGGTTAAAAGTTTTTTGAAAAAAATTAAAAATGACGGCGATGATGTAGGATTCATAACCCGGGTTACATCTGACGACGTCGAATTCGCCCACAATTCCTACGGGGAATATTTTGCAGCCCTCTATCTCTTTGAACATCGAAGTTCAAAAGCACGCGACAAGAAATTTATTTCGAACGGTCGTTATAACAATATTCGATTTTTTTTAGACTTGATGTTGACGAGAAAGTGTAAAGGTTTCGTAGGTGTTATTTACAAAAATCTTCCGATTTTGGGAGAACTCAGTGAGGTAGATTTGAAGCAAAAAGATGTCATTGGTCGAGATATTTTGGAAGTGGCGTGTGCATGGAGCAAAAATTACCCGGTTGCGAAAAATAAGACTGTTATAAAACAGTCCGAGTTCAATGAATATTGGATAATTAAAGATGAAGAGGAAAAAGTCGAAAAGTATCTAAATTACCGTGACGTAGGGCCTAAATTTATTAAATTCGGTTCTTCCACTGGTGCCTGTTTCCAAAAGTTGCTGCTTTTCTTGCTATTTTTGATTCCGTTGTATGACGGGAATCAGTTTGCTGATGATTATTTAGGAGTAGTTTTGTACTATGCAGTTAGGTTTGATTTTTCGATGATTTTTGAGTGCATCGAAAATTCTCTCCCTTTAAAAAACACATACAGTAATATTAGTTCAAGGAGTGTTTTAGCTGTAGCTCTTTATAATCGATCGAGGAAAATTTTGGGCAAACTGTTTTCCGAAGAAAGAGATTACTTTGAATGGGACTATGTAACGGATTTACGGATTTCACTAGTGGAAACTGACATAATGTTAGCATTTATGTTAGAGTTAGAAGAGTTTAAATTAGAAGTTCCAAATTCGCAAGGTCAGTTGCTAATACATTTTGCTTCTAAGAATCACCTAATGAAGACTCTAAATTTATTAATTCTTAAAAGTGCGAAAGTGGACGTTCCGGATAGAAGTGGTCGGCTACCGATTCATTATGCTTGTGGTTCTGTAGAATTAGAACCAGTAGAATTTCTGCTGAAGAATGGTGTGGAAGTCAATGTTCCGGATAAAGATGGTCTACTGCCCATTCATTATGCGTGTAAAAATCTTCCCAAAGGATACAAAATTATACCACTTTTGATCGAAAAAGGTGCTAAAGTAGATTCCCCAGACGCGAATGGTCGACTGCCGATTCATTATGCTTGTCAACATGGAGATGTGAATGAAGTAGAGTCGATAGTAGTAAATGGAGCCAAAGTGAATGCTCCGGATCGAAATGGTCGCGTGTCCATGCATTACGCGTGTATGAATATCATTGATTCTTCCAGGATGATACCATTTTTGATTGAAGAAGGTGCAAAAGTGGATTCTCCAGATGGGGATGGTCGACTACCCATTCACTATGCCTGTGAACATGGAGATTTAGATGTGGTGAAGTCATTGATAACGAATGGTGCGAAACTGACGGTTCGGGACGGTGATGGGCGACTACCGGTGCATTACGCAAGTAAAAATGAAGAGTATGGTAAAGAAATCACAAAATTTTTGATAAAGCAAAGTGGAAGTCCATAATTGTAAAACTTTTTCTAATGACTCATGAGATATCTAGATAAAGAACTTGAAAATGCATTTGGTGAATTCTATATAAGCGTTTACGCCCGTCCACATTCTACAAATTTTAATATAAGAAACGAAGAGTCCAATAATCTGCAAATAAAGATTGATGGGATATGTCTCAAGAGGAAATATTGGAAACTCAATGACAGCCGGTGTGGATAATATCCCGAGTTTCCTCATAATTGATTGTGCCTCAATATTTGTAACATTGTTATTTTATTTGTTTAATATACGTATTATCAAATATTCATCATTTTCCACGATTTGTAAGAAAGCCAGTATTTCACCAGTTTTCAAGAAAGGAGATCCCACAATTATTAAAAATTACCGACCTATCTGCATACTTTCCAGCGTTTCAAAAAATTTTGAAATCATTCTCTATAAAGGACTTTATTTTAAGGTTAAAAGGCCCGCTGTCACAAATCTTGCCTGTTTCAGTCAGTATCTATCAGAAGCGCTGGACCATAATACTCAAGTGGACTGTATCTACAAAGCTTTTGATCAAGTAGACCATCATATTTTTATTCGTAAACTCAATTTGTTTGGATTTTCCAGTTCTTTAATATCGTTGTTCGAATCTTACATATTTAACAGAATTCTTTTTGTCAAGTATCGTAATTTCTTGTCCGATCGTTTCTGTCCTACATCGGGGGTGTCACAAGGATCCAACCTGATACCTCTGCTCTTCGTATTATCTATTAACGACATTGCAAATGAACTCTTCTATCAGAAGCTACTCTTTGCCGACGATTTAAAACTTTAGGTATTTGTCGATCATTTCTACTGAAGATTGTTAAAGTTTGCAGACCAACTTAAACCAGTTGTTTTCTTGGAGTATTCAGAATCAATTATGCTTAAACAAAAAGAAATGGTTCGTAGGCACTTACTCTAGAAAAGCAAACACATTGTTGATTGTACTTTGACTTACATCTAATTTTTATATATTTAATTTCCTGTAACTGCGTGATGTGCTCGTTGGAAATAAATCTATTACTATTATTATTATATAAGGCTAAGGCAAAAGCTAACTTAAACAGACATATAAATGCCCATCACTTGGATGAAAAAAGTGTTAGCTGGTATGAGTGTGAGAAGTGTCGGTATAAAAGACAAAATATGGGGACGCAAACTGTATATATAAAAGCGGAATAATTTGAAAATTAAATGTACCCTTTTTTGTGATTGGTTTTTGTAAACTTGAGAATAAAGTTGTTTTGTAAATTTTAATTTTATTAGAAAAGAAAAAATCTCGGAAACTACAGTATCAACTACTTGTGTCCTCGCTATGATGGTGTGATAAACTCTGCATGCTCTGATCCTTCTGATGGGTGGTTACCGTAGTAAAAGTGAGACGAGCGACCTCCTTTAACACTTTATTCCATTGCTCTGTTTTACCGCATTCGTTACCATGGAACTATTGACCGTCCTGGTTCGATCTTTTGTGTTCCGTATATAGGGTCGACTTTACTTAATACCAGTCAAACGTGTTTATTGAGTGGTGAGGTGTAAAGTGGCAGAGGGACAGTGTGAGGAAAGCAAGAAGCTAAAAGAAAGAGATATGTAGTTAAGTTGGGAAAGATAGAAGAAGGGTTGTAATGTTCCGATTGGAGCGTCGACAAAGAACAGAAAGAAAGGGAATGGAGATGTTTTAAACAACAATACAACCGTAAAAAGAAGAAGATAGGAAAAACAAAAAGAACAGAAATATGATAATTAAGCGTTATGCAAAGTAATTTAATAAATTTAAATTAAAAATGATAAAATCAGGCAACCAATTATACACGTTAAAGATATAAAGTTATGATCTCCCCCCACAGATACATAAAAATAGCATGCTACAACTATAATAACAGTTGATTTTGTATCATTCCTTTAATACTATATATAACGACTGATTTTGTTGTAATTCAAGATGACAAACGTAAGTTATTAATAATTTTTTTTTAAATAAAACTATTTGTAATAAAACTTACAGACTACGAAAAGCACAGATGTTGACGAAGTGAATGATCCATCTCAAAACTCTTCCTCAGTAAGTCATAAATAATTAATGTTAGTTTATTGTTATATAAGTAAGGCATAAAGTCAAACCATTGATTACATTTTCCACAAAAACTAATAAATATTTCTTTACAAAAAATTGATTGATAGCATCTTGAGGAAACGTGTGCCAGGCTGTCTGCACCTGTGGACGTAATTCATTTAACGTATTGGGAGGGTGATGTAAACGACGCAGTCTTTTATCAACACATGTTCGATTAGATTTAAATCAGGTGACCGTGGCGGCCAAGGCAAAAAATTGACATTATTTTCGGCTAAGAAGTCTAAACTCATGTTAGCTATATGAAGGCGGGGATTACCTTGTTGCAAAATTACCTCTGTAAAATATATGACAATTCGAATACACCAAAAAAAGGACAAGTTAATACTATAAACAAGATATACAAAAACCTCCACCAGATAGTGAAACAGACACAAATTTTTATAAGTGCTAGATCACCTGCAAAATTTAATAAATTGTTTGACTTTATGCTTTATTTAGCGTTTTTGTATAGTTTCTATGTGTTAGCATAGGTAATTTTGGGGTACGTTCAGTTTTAAAATGATAGTGTCAATGCATTACGAGTATTGGCTAAATAAACAACCAGTCATTATAATGTGAGGTGCAATTATTTAATAGGCTTTATAACCACAATTTCCTTCTTAAATGCTGTTGCGATGTTGTCACGATATTCCAATTCTGTTGAATTTTTTTAGCAATGGAAGGGTTATTTTTTCAATCTATGCTACAATATTTTGTAGAAAAATAAATATAGTATGCGCTTTCTTGTGGTCTCACTTAAATCACAATTTAAAAATACAGAATGTTTAAAAAAATCCTAAAACTAAATAATTTTCAAATATCGTTGTTTTAGTTTTTTCAGAAAGAACATATTTTATTTATATATTTTTGTTCTCAGTATTCTAATATATCGATGTGTCTCTTAAAAAAGTAAAAAAAATATAATAAAAACAAAATCAAATGCAGTAATAAAATACAAGGCGTTCTATTTGAAAAAAAAAACCTAAAATATTGATATTTAGAAATTGTGATAATCAAATATTTTTATAAACACCCTGTATGCGACAATGTCATTCCGTGTATACCACAACAAAGTGCATACATTTATTTATCTCTCCATAAAATATTATAACACAGACTTTAAAAATAACCAAACTGCGATTTTTTTTTGTGAAGAAAATTAGAATAATGTGGCAAAGTGGCATTAGTATCTCAAAAAACTGTGGTTATATAGCCTAAGAAAAGGTCAGTCCAAATATTTAAAAATATGGAGGGTGTTTTATTGAAAAAAAACTAAAGTATGTGTTGCGCCTTAAAAACAGAACACTATGTAGAGCTAAAAATAATTTTAGAGCATAGTCCTGAAAGAACCGCACAACTTTGGTCTTTACCATTTTTCTGACTCACTCTGTATATCTTAATTAAAAAAGAGTAATATTATTTAATGTATAAAAAAATTATATTCTTTTGTATAAAAAAAAAAATAAAATTGATGTCATTTCATCTATCCATTTAATAGACTATGTTATGTATATTGAAATAATATTTATTTTTAAAAATAATTGAGATATTTTAGTGGAACAGGTACATCCTATATACGGCAACACTGGTTTACCTGCCATATGAAAATTAATGTGGCTAAACACATCCGTACGTACAGAATAGGACGCTAATAAGAAAGTCAAAGACCAAAGTTGTACGGTTCTTTGAGGACTACACTCTAAAATTAAAAACTAAGCAACACTTGTGTTTTAAGGCGTAACATACAACTTACTTTTTAAAATACAACACTTGTACAAGTTTACATATTTTAATTGACCTCTCAAACCACAGTCTACTATTGAAGTTCTGATGCGACGTTGCCACGTTATGTCAATTTTCTTTGAAATTTTTTGGCAAACATTTTTCTTTTTTTATTCAAATGTTGAACAAAAAACGAAGAATTTTAAATCACTCGACCCACTAAAAATTGAAATTATACAACTTAGAATTTTTTGCTACTTTCGTTGAATTCTACTTTTTTTTTTTTTTTGGACATTGCCTCTCAGAGGACTCCAGATTTTCCTCAGTTATGTGATTAGAGTTGCATTATTCACTCCTCTTGAATAATAGCTTACATTATGTGGTCGCTGAATAATATAATACTATAACTACAATTTGTCCTTAGAGTTTAATTGTGGGTTGCCTAATTATCAAGTTTTCTATCGTTTTGAAACTGAACATGGTCCTGTTTCAAAAACTCCCGGTATATTCTAGTAAAAACATAATTTAACGATTTTTTTACAGATGTTCGTAAAGAGACGCGGCACCACTGACAAAGGCAAAGACTACGAACACCTCTACATTGCTAGCTTAGTTTTAAAACTAATAATTGACGAAACCGTCGAAAATTTTTATTTGTCTTCGAATGATGACGAATTTGGTTCTTTCGACGACGTTGTAGTCAAAATAATACTCAAAGATCGTACGGAAACATACGCCGTCCAGCTGAAACACGTCACCAGAAAAGTAGTACTCACTGAGAGACTAAACTCACCGAGTGGTGAATTTAGCATCGAAAAGTACTACGAAAATTTCAAAAAGCATGAAAAGTTAAAGGAACCGTCTGTGAAAATGGTTCTATTCACTAATTGTAAATTGAACACTGAGCACCTAAATCGGTTTAAATTTGGAAAATTGACACCATGCGAACAAAATAATTTGATTTCATATTCGGAAGGTAGCTGCTATACATTCGAAGCAAGTGAAGACAATTTGGAGAAGTATGAATTGTTTTTCAAAAATTTGTGTCTCTGTAGTGATCAACCAGATGTCAGACAGCTTAAAAAGGAAATATTTGAGACACTAGAGACACAATTCGGTAGTAATGAAAGTGTTTGTCGTGAGTACGTAGATTTCATAACTCAGTGGAGTATGAAAGAAGGTGAAAAATTCAAACTGAATAAAACATGGATGAAACACGTGATAGCCCTTTGCGTGTTTTCTCCGTTCACTAAACCACTGTCCTTCGTTGAGGGTAAATCTGTCAATGACAAAGAAAAAATTTTCAGAGAAGCTGTTTCTAAATGTGATTTAGCTGTCATTGATGAACATAATTTTGAAAGAATCGAATCGATTTGGTCAGACGTTGTCGACGACTTTGACGATGTAGAAAGCACGAGCAAAATTAATAACTTGTACGAACTTATAGAAGACAATATAAGCACAAAAGCAAGTCTATATAGTGCAGATCTTTTGAAAGTATCGAGGCTCATCTGGTTACTGGGAAAAAGCCCATTGGTCGTTGAAGGTTGCCCACAAGTTTATCAAGCAATAAAAACATGTCAAGCTCGAAATCTCATCATACTCGACGACCAAGAGACGTTTAACGACAAAATCGTAGAAAGGGAAACGTTTCTACTTCAAAATTTGTCCGATTTAAAAAAACACACACAATTATACGAAGAAATCATAAAGAATTTTACGTATTCGTTGGAAGGTCAAAGAGAAATTGAGTTGAAATTTCTAGTAGAAATGTGCGATGTTGACAATTTGATTTCTACAGATGATTTAGTTGAAATGTTGGATGCTCCGTTGTTGATTGGAAACTTACAAGAAGTTCTGCCACCAAGTCATATCGAAAGAAGATTAACGAAAATTTTAATAGATGTTAACTTTTTGAAAAATGTTGACCAGAATGCAGTGGCTTTAATTGACTCTGTGACCAATGTTAAGTCATTTCAACAAAATTTACCAGATGTAGTAATCACGAAAATAGATGATATAGAAACGATTCAAAATACAATTCATAGTCTAAGGATCTACATTACTGGTGAAACTGATATATCACGAGAGAAATTTAATACTTTGTGCAAGAAGAATTTAGATTTTCAGTTTCATCACTTTAAATATTTGGACGATCATCGTTTGGAGTGGCTAAGAAGTGAGAATTGTGAGTGTTTCGAAAAACTTGAGAATTTCCGGCGACAAACAGAATTCTTGGAAGTCATGGACCAACGACAATATTTTAGTAAATCGGGGCAAAATATTAACATTATTTGTGCAGATCCTGGTATGGGGAAAAGCACGTTAATGAAGAGCTTGAAAAGTGTCAGTTTTTCGTCGAAGTGGATCATTTTAATCTACGCAAGGAATCATCCTTACCACTTTAGAAAAAATAAATCAGATATGGACAAGTTTTTGAAATATCTGCTGAAAATTACTTGTAAGAAGTACTCAAACCCATTGCACCAAATAGTTTTTAAGACAATGTTGGAGCAGAATCGAATAGAAGTCGCGTGGGACGGACTGGATGAAGCGTCTGATGCAACCCAAATTTCGGTTTTAAGCTTAGTGAAAACTTTTTCGGAAAGAAACGTGAAACAGTGGGTAACTTCTCGAAATAACTTGAAAAGTGTGTTAGAAAACACACTTGCTACGTTTTCACGAAGTATAAAGGAGTTTGACGACGACGAGCAACGAGAGTACATCAGGAGTCGCTTACAGCTCCCTGAGGAAGAGTTATCTCAAACTATTACTAAAATAAGAGAAAATGTAATGGCTTTTCCGAATTATGAAATCTTGGGCATACCTCTACAAATTTATATGTTGACAGAATTGTTTTTACAAGACAAAGAAAAATATCTGAATTTGTTGAACTACATTTTCACTGTTCTCGATTTGTATGAACACTTTGTCGACGAAAAATTTAGGGTTTTGTACGAAGAGAAAAAAGAAATCGTGCTATCGAATGAACAAAATGAAAACATTTTTGTGCAAGAAAAAGAAACTAAAATGAATTACTACAAACGTTTGGCTGCCAGCTCTTACATTTACAACTCATTTGTGGAAAAACTTTTCAACATAAATCGCAGTGTCGACAAAGAGGTTAAAATTTTTTTGGAAAAAATTAAAAATGACGGCGATGATGTAGGATTCATAACCCGGGTTACATCTAACGACGTCGAATTCGCCCACAATTCCTACGGGGAATATTTTGCAGCTCTCTATCTCTTTGAACATCGAAGTTCAAAAGCACGCGACAAGAAATTTATTTCGAACAGTCGTTATAACAATATTCGATTTTTTTTAGACTTGATGTTGACGAGAACGTGTAAAGGTTTCGTAGGTGTTATATACAAAAATCTTGCGATCTTGGGAGAACTCACTGAGGCAGATTTAAAGCAAAAAGATGTCATTGGTCGAGACATTTTGGAAGTGGCTTGTGCATGGAGCAAAAATTACCCGGTTGCGAAAAATAGCACAGTTTTAAAAGATTCCGATTTTAACCCAGATTGGATGTTTAAAGATGAAAAGGTCGAAAAGTATCTAAGTTATCGTGACGTAGGGCCCAAATTTATCAAATTTAGTTCTTCCACTAGTGCTTGTTTTCAAAAGTTGCTGATTTTCTTGCCATTTTTGATTCCGTTGTATGACGGGAATCAGTTTGCTGATGAATATTTAGGAGTAGTTTTGTACTATGCAGTTAGGTTTGATTTTTCGATGATTTTTGAGTGCGTCGAAAATTCTCTTCCGTTAAAAAACACATACAGTAGTATTAGTTCAAGGAGTGTTTTAGCTGTAGCTCTTTATAATCGATCGAGGAAAATTTTGGGCAAACTGTTTTCCGAAGAAAGAGATTACTTCGAATGGGACTATGTAACGGAATTAGGGATTTTTCCAATGGAAGTTGACACAATATTTACATTTATGTTAGAGTTAGAAGAATTTAAATTAGAAGTTCCAAATTCGCAAGGTCAGTTACTGATACATTCTGCATCTAGGAATCGCCTAAATAAGACTTTAAGTTTATTAATCCTTAATGGTGTGAAAGTGGACGTTCCGGATAGAAGTGGTCTGCTACCGATTCATTATGCTTGTGTCAATGCCGAATTAGAATCAGTAGAATTTCTGCTAAAGAATGGTGCGAAAGTCGATGTTCCGGATAAAAATGGTCTGCTGCCCATTCATTATGCATGTAAAAATTATTTCTGTGGATGCACAATTATACCATATTTGAAGGAAAAAGGTGCTAACGTTGATTCCCCAGACCCAAATGGTCGACTGCCGATTCATTATGCTTGTGAACATGCATATATGAATGAAGTAGCGTCGATAGTACTAAATGGAGCCAAAGTGAATGCTCCGGATCGAAATGGTCGCGTGTCCATGCATTATGCATGTATGAATGTCTTGGATCCTTCCAGGATGATACCATTTTTGATTGAAGAAGGTGCAAAAGTGGATTCTCCAGATGGGGATGGTCGACTACCCATTCACTATGCATGTGAACATGGAGATTTAAATGTGTTGAAGTCATTGGTAACGAATGTTGCGAAAATGACGGTTCGGGACGGTGATGGGCGACTACCGGTGGATTACGCAAGTAAAAATGAAAAGTATGGTAAAGAAATCACTAAATTTTTGATAAAGCAAAGTTGAAGTCCATAACTGTAAAACTTTTTCTGTTTATATCTGATGCACTTTGTGTGACAAAAAATTACCAAATTTTGAGTACCTATGTCGTAGAAATTTTGTAAAATTTTGAAATTTGTCATCATAATTATTTGTCAAACAGAACCTTTGGTTGCCAAAAGTTCATACCGAACCAAAGAAAATTCTAACTTGAAGAAACACACAAACTGCTTTCATTTGTACGAACGGCATATTAAATGGAGTTATTGTTTAAAATGCCACGTAAAAGCACACCATTCAGATGACTCTGATTTTAAACAGTGTCGATACATACAAATCTAAACACAGTTTTGCTTTTAAATGTCACGCGAATGCACGGCACTTGGATGAACAGAGTGCTAAATGGTATGAATGCCTCGAATATCCATATAACATATTCCACCAGCCATTAACGGCAATGATTTTGAATTTTTTCTTGAATTGCTAAATAATACAAGCGAATTGCATAATGATAACCTGATTACTGTTGGTGATTTCAATATACCCTCATATACAGACAATATTTATGACAGACCTACTGTTTCAGTAAGAAACTTTGCTAGCTTCCATAATTTTTCACAATACAAGTTTATTCCCAATAAGTTAAATCGTACCTTTGATCTAGTATTTTCTAGCCGTTTCTGTAGTGTCGATGTGATTAGACGACGACTACCAGCCAGCTTTAGAAATAGACTTCGAACTTAATAAAAAATCTACGAAATATTTTGCAGCCAATCCCAATTGTAATCAATTCAATTTTCGAAAAGCTAATTTTCCATTACTATATCGGTTATTTCTTTTTACCGATTGGTCATTTCTCAAATGATTGAAACAATTCAACTAAAAACAACTCTACATAACAAATTTAAAAGATTTAAAACCCAATTATGACCGTTTTAAATATTATAGATCTAAATCCA